GACTTGTTACTAATTACAGCTCACAACTCATCCCTTATCTTGTCTCATACACATTCTTGCTTGTTAGTCTGCTTTGTTTTATTTTTCACTCAAGGTTAGGAATTAATTGCTTAAGGCTGAAGCCACCTGCAGCTTCGGCTCTTAAAGCACCAAAAGCCGTCCTGTGTCCAGATCAGCTCCACATGGCATCATCCTTACAGGACAAGGTCCCTTAGAAGAAGTACAAGCCCGTGGACAAGATCACACTGGGAGTAGTGAGGAGGGCTGATATCTGTGATCAACTTCCCACTCCTCAATCCCTATAGCACCTTCTATTGACTTTTCACTGCTGTCCTTCTCTTCTTGGAACACCACTGAACTTTCAGCCCTCAAAACCACAGCTCTCCAAATCTCCTTTACCCTTCTCGGCAACCAACATCCCTACTTACAGCTGGGACACCTTCTGTCATGACTACAAAACTGAATTTTGCCACCATCAAGAGAAAATTAGTTACCTTGTTTCTTGTTCTTGGAATCACAAAAATGTAATGCCAAGTCTCCTCCAAGAGAAATTCTTTTCATTGTAGAAGTTCAGCATGTAACCACTAGAGCTAGTATTTACTGGTTCAGCCATTTATTTCATTAATTTGGAGATTACTGTGACATTGTTTGAATCTGAATCAAAGGTCTCAAGATATATTATGAAATATTATGAGGCTTAATTCAATTCTGAAAACAAGAAACTACATGAAGTGGGAGGGCAACAATTAGGACACAATTTTAAATACTAAAAGAAAGAAGAAAAAGGTAAAAGGATCCATATGCTAAAATCAGGCATCATCACATTAAGTCACATTATTTAACACTCCTTTTTCAACATCTTATGAATACAAGCAAATTTTTACATGCATTAGGTGAAATTTTTTATATGCATTCCATTTTATATGAATGTGTATGATGTATGAGTCTAATAAATAAAAACTTCAAATTAACAGGTAATATTAATCAGAATAAACTCATGTCTCAAAATTAGGAGGGAAGAAACTAGCCCAAAATCTCCAGTTTACCTTTTCCTCTTTACTTAACTGCACTTAAAGTATTTTCTTCATAATTTGAAGCTTTATAATTTAAATGTAACATTTGCACAGGTATTCAAATGAAAAATTCCCCAAACATCAACAATTGCAGAAATAAATAAATGAAACAACATCTAATATTAGCAATGATTGTACTTAGGCTACCATGCCATTTACTTCCAGCTAGGTGTTACTGCATGACCTAGTGAAGTTTCTTCAGATCATTATGTACTGATTTGTCAATATTTTCTCCAGTACAAGCTTACCTTTCTAAAACCATAATTTAAACAGGGAGTCTATCTGACCTGCTTTTTTATGCACAAAAATACAATTCAAAATGAAATTATAATGCTAAGTTAATTCATCTTTAATCATGCCTTTTTGCAACAACAGGAATATTGCTAAATAAAATAAGCACATTAAAGTCACTCTTTCAATAAAAATTTAAAAGACATTCCCTAAAAAAGACAGAACAAAAAAAAAGGATTCCAAAAGACAACATTTTTAATGCCTTCAAAACAACTATAGATTTGTTGAGTTAGAAGAATAGATGTCATTTGTCAAAATAAAAAGAGTCTATTTCAAAAAGAAGAATCACACCACATCAACTATATTGTTCTTTTAAAAAACAGCCTGCTTAACTTCCAGAAAGGGTTGATGATGGGAAAAAATGTGTATAACTGAAACTAGGATTTTCCAGCAGCAATGTAGCATTACTTCAAATGCAACTGTGTGGTAAATCAAAGACATAACAGAGGAAAAGCATGATCCAGTTCTCAGTGAATCATCAAAAACAGTTGTCTGTAGATAGACCAAACATCAGAAGTCTTATCAGCTAAACAATCTGTGCAAAGAATCAAGTTCCTACTCGGAGCACTAGAACCTAGGCACTATTTTTTCCTTTCTCAAATTAAATGTTTCCTCTCTGATTTGGAAACAAGAGTACATCACCTATTAAAGAGGATTTATTTCACTATTGATGTTTTTTCACTGTACTACAGATTGGGGTTTGGTAGTTTTAAAATGCAGCATTTATTCATTTCTACAACATGTTGCAACAGGGCTGCAGGAAAATTTTAGACTGATAGGATTAAAAGGGTCCCTAATTCTACATTATAGTCAAAACCACATATTAACCACTAGCACTAAATGTCTAGAAAATACGCAGTACCTCATCACTCAGAGAAGAGTTGAGGTGTTAAAAGTTAAGATTAATATATATGACTGTGATCAAAAAAAGGGAAAAAAATAAGACTGATATACTGACAAAAAAAATATAAAAATCAGACATACATTTGCATTTGTTTCCTTCCTGTCTAAATAAGCAAGCTTATAAGGCTAACATTGCATTTATGCAACTTCATGGTTGCAACACTGCACACAAGTCAAGGAAACTAAAATTACATTTCCCACAGCAACTTTAACTCAGTTATATTTTGTGTGCAGTTAGAATTATAGTATGTTATTCTGCCTCTTAAATACTACAAACACTGAAGCAGGAATGTGGGAATCATTACTCTAATTTTACCAGCTTGTACGAACTCGAGATCTCAAAGAGACCATTACGTTAAATATTCAAACAACTATATAATGCTAGTTAATAGCAATTTGTTCATCCTATTTATGAACCCACTGCTGCCCCTTTACTGTCTCTGGTTGTTGTAGTAACACACAGAAACAGCATTAAGAATGTGAAAATACTCCACGTTCTCTTCAATCCTGATTTTTTAAAGCTAATTTTATTTAGATGAAATACAGAACTTTTTACTTTTCTCTTACACAAGCATAAATGTGGCAACATTCCGTTGTCATACATTGGTTAAATTCTAACACTATACCAAAGACTTGGAATTCTGTCCCCTTCCCCCCAATTAGGAACAGTGATTATCACTCCCCTTCAATTCTTCCATTTTCAGTACTACCAAATTACATATAATGGGGATTTTTTACACCTACGATGAAGAAAATTTGCAACTAGTCCAGAACACAATTCATTTCATCAGCATGCTAACCCAACTCAAAGAAAACATCAGTAATATGCTTTATTCTCCTACCTTGCCTTTCAAAATATTTTTTAATATCAAAAAACCTGAAAGAATATTTTATGGAAACAATTTTGTGACAAAAAATACTGGTATCATAACTGTTACCCTTCACTGAGGCAGAAATCAATAGGAAAGGATGAAAAAAGAGAATTACTAGCTCAGTTGACAAAGAATAATGAAATCCTCTCTCAGATCTAAGCACAATAACTTCACAAAAAAAGAAGAGAGTCTAATCTAAATATTAGCTTGTTAAAGATTGAACTAACTGACTGGTTCTATTACCCCCAAACCAGCTTTTAAGAATTCTCTATGTCACAAGTGACAGAAGGCAGTTAATAAGTAAATACAAAGGTGCATGAAACAACACATTTTCACATAAAAATTAGTTAGAACCATCTCATGAGAGATTTGTTTTACATATTATACTCAAATATTAACATAGAAATTTCATTTAAGAGAAATTAAGTCAATGCGCACCTACAGCACCCATGCCAAAGTCAGTTCAGTTGCCAGTCCTATCCTGAGAGTTCCCAAAGCTATGCCAGAGTCACCACTATAGTCTGCTTTGAAGTTTTTCAAATCAACAGCCCTAATAACCAGCTGTTTCTACTGGAAAAAGAAATGCTAGCGAGACAGACATCTGTACTGTGTAGCTGCCAGATTTACTCAGTGTGTGGCCACAGGTGTTGACCCTAGTGTTGCAGGAGCCAAAGGAGAAAGACAAAATGAATTGGCATTAAAAGCTGTATTAACAGAAGGCATCTGATATTCAAGTTCCATAAAAATAATTTTAACTGTCAACTCTTAGAAGCACGACTCACTTTTCTGATTTTATTCTGGCTATATCCAGAAGACAACAAGAGGAAGTACATGACTTTTTCTACAAAGTTAAAGGTCATTACATTTTCATTGCCAGTCTTGAAAACTGTAGTACCTGATTGAAAGAGGTACGATACAGACAAACTGATACTTGTAAACCTCAGTAACATTTCCACCACTTAAAAATTTCTGTTTGAAAAGCATCATTAAAGTATTAAAAAATAAAATGCACTAAATCTATCGTCAAGAGTATATGATGACCATTAACTTTAGCCAGTATGATACTCCATAAATCAGAAGGTTTTTAAGCAAAACTTATAACATAGCTAAGCAAACATTTCTTTCATTGAGTAGGATGTTAGACACAAACAATAAAAAAAATATTAGATGACTATATTACCATAAGGAAGTATTGCAGGCAGGAACTGAATACAAATTATTACAGGAACTCTTAATTACAAATGGGAAGCAATGCAGTAGCTACTTTAAAACCATCCACAGAAGCAAAAACATTTTGAAACGTTGTAAGTCTATAGCATTTAGTTTGTCGTGCTGCAACACTGGGAGAAGGCTGAAAACTTTGATGAAAAATTTGTTCTGTACGTGAGACTTCACATATGTATTCAATAAACAATATTGATTTTTGCAATGGAAACAATTTTAATTCCATTGTCTAGCATCTAATTACACTTTACATATTTTTATTATGCAACACAAACTATTCCATATTCAAGTCAGCTAATACTTCACAAATTGTCCATAGCTACTCTAGAACATTCTAAGTCATAATGTTAAACATCTACTGTGCCAAGTGTTTTTATTTTCATCTGTTCTATGAACTAGATCATAATAATAACGAGTGATCCAAGTTACAATAATGTACTTACACAAGTGGGTTATTAAACCTATATTCCCATTAATGTCAAAAGTCAGGTTCTGATGTAAAGACCTTAGAAATTCTTCACATTCAAAGGGCTTTGGAGCAGGCCTGGAGACACTTAACAGAGTATTTGCTGGATACAAATATACTCTATACAAAAACTTTCCACAAAAAAGTAAGATACTACAAGAAAGAAATTACCTGGAGCACCTTGTAATGATCTTGATGTGAAATTACTTTTTCTTTTTTTTCCTTCAATAAATCCATCTCTAGAATACTATGTTTTTCCAGTAAATATTCTAATTCCTATAAAGTTTACAAAATAAAATACATGAAGTTACAAAGATTTGCAAATTGTGAAAATACAGATTCAGTTAATCACTCTAATTAATTTAATTTCTGAAGACTATGACATTTGCTGTCATAATATACTCAGAGATACAGGGCTGTGCAAGCAAACTCTGATTGCAGTCTTTAAATTGAGACAGTATTTTCAAGGAGTATAAGGTATTTAAAATCAAAGGCATGTCCTGGAAGGTATGTCCTATGAGAAGCGGCTAATGTCACTAGGTTTGTCTAGTTTGGAGAAAAGGAGGCTGAGGGGTGACTTCATTGGTCTCTACAACTTCCTGAGGAGGGAAAGTGGAGAGGGAAGCACTGAGCTCTTCTCCCTGGGATCCAGTGACAGGACACATGGAAATGGTTCAAAGCTGCATCAGGGTTCAGACTTGACATGAGGAAGCATTTATTTATCAAGACAGTGGTCAAACATTGGAAGAGGCTTCCTAGAAAGGTGGTCGATGCCCCAAGCCTGTCAGGGTTTAAGAGGCATTTAGACAGTGCCCTTAATAGTTTGCTTTAACTTTTGGTCAGCCCTGAAGTGGTCAGGAAGTTGGACCAGATGATTGATGTAGGTCCCTTCCAAGTGGAATTATTCTATTCTATTCTAATTATTTCCATATTTTTAATAGCCTGTTCTGTCTTTGTACATTTGAAAAGCAGCACATTACATGTACTTGTAGCAATAGTTTCACTAAAAAGGCAGAAATCCCATTACATAGAGCCGTAACGATCTCTACCAACAGCTCCAAAATGAATAAAATTTTAAAATATTCTGTGATCCTGCAGAGAGCCAGTCTAGAAGCCTGCTCAGCATGAATCAACAGAGAGTAAGGAGAATGACAATACTGACAATTAACTGCAAAATAATTTGCTATACAAGGAGCTAAAGATTTTTATTTTTTCTCTAATGCAGCTGTTGCTCGTACCCAACTCATTCCTACTACACATAAGCTGTTGGCACCCTTTCAGTTGCTCAAGAACAACTATTTCTGCAGCCATGCAGGAAGTCAGCATAGAAACAAATGATCTGCCAGATCAGTGTACAAAGGCACAACTGAGAGGGTCATTAGCAGGACAGAAAGAGCAGGTCTGCTTAGTTCAATCCTGCTTTTGGACAAAATAAAAATAGTTCTTGATATTCAAAGTCTTTGATTCAGCTTCAGAGATAGAAACTGATTATGCAACACTTCTTCAATTCAGAGCCCAGCTCTCAACCTACCTCCTCTTAGTCTGAATTCATGCTTCCCTACCAGCCCTCCCCTATACACCTAATTCCTAGCAAAATCAATCCTTTCCATACCTTCTCATCTTTGTCTCTCATTACTCATCCTCATTATCATTTCCAACAAGCCATTTCCTCCTTCCCTAGCACCTTGATAGCCATGAAGGAACAATATTAAGAACAGTAGAAATTAAACTTACTCTCCCATGCCTCAGTGACCTTTTGCTAACTCACACTCTTAACTACAGGCATAGTCCTGCTTGGTACTCTACCATATTCAGGTCAGAAGGAATATAAAGAATTTAGTTACCAGAGCTCTAAGAAAGGGAGAGGGAGGAGGGGAGGGGAAAAAAAAAAAAGTGTGTTATGGTCGTAAAGATAGCCAAAGACATTTTCAACTTCAGTGATCACACACTCCCCAAACAGAGCACTGAAACAGGCTGCCCAGGGAGGTTGTGGATTCTCCTTCTCTGGAGACATTCAAAACCCACCTGGACGCTTTCCTGTGTAATCTCATCTAGGTGTTCCTGCTCTGGCAGTGGGAATGGACTAGATGATCTTTCGAGGTCCCTTCCAATCCCTCACATTCTGTGATTCTGGGATGAGGGAATCACTATAGCTTCTAACCACACAGCTGCACACTAAGAAAACTTGACAATTTTTTTTTCTTTTTTTTTTTTTCCTTCCAGAAAAAAGTTTCCTGAAACTTTAGAAAAATTGAGCCTAAAATAGAAACCAAACATGAAAAAAAAAGTAATTTGTCTAAATTTGGCCAATTTCTCCAGAATTTGGCTAATTTTTACAAAAAATGCATTGCAAATCTCTGCCAGCTTCAACTATATTTAAATCTTATATAAATGCCAAACATTCTCATTAAAAAATATTCATACCTTTTTAATTTTTAATTTTTCTTCTTCAGCAGTACAAAGCTTGATTTCTAGGTTTGCAACAGCTTGTTGAAGGTAGCTCTTTGTTTCATTTGTTCTCTGTGTCTCAGCATCAACCAAAGCAATGGTTGATGTAGCTGAAGTCTTGTCTTCAATTACATTCAAAGAGGCAACTGGAATATCTGCTTGAATCTAATTCGTACAAGAAACAAAGTGGTAAAGGAAATGGTAAAGGAAATTTAACTTTCCAGTCAAGTAAAATTTGATTTCCAAATTATATTACAGAACTTAAGAACTGTAAATACTAAGGTTACTTTTTGAAACCACACTTCTCTGAAATTGGCCACGCACACTCTCGTATGGAGGGTGTGCTGGTAAAAAAGAAAACTCCAACAATGGAAACAGTAGCTAGTAATTCTAGATGGAGTCACATCAATCCTTCTAATCTCCTCAACTGCTTTTCAATAATATCTTAGGAGAAGGCTTTACGAAGGGGGATGGCATAGATAACTCAGTTTCCAATGAGGTCAAAATACTCAAAAGAGGTGAAAAGAGGCAGAAGTGAAACTGAATTATCTGTCTCAAAACATCAGGGACATAAACTCTCCTTGGATTAGTCACTCCATGTTTTCACCCAATCCAGATTACAAACAGTAGCCATGGAAAGGGAATACAACCTTTTTGTGCTAAAATAAATAAGTAATCTTGAGGCTAGATCAACAGAATAAGAGTAATGGCATATGTCTACAGCATTTAGTTAATGCTATTTCAGAAATACAAAAACTGAAACAGAGGCTTCTAGAATACACAACCCAAACCAGATGAAACACTGATAATAAGCCCATATTTTCAGAAAAACGCAAAAATAAATCAAGTGAGGTTTAAAATATTTTGTGGTATAATTAACAAAAGCCAAAGCTTTTTTTCCATATTAAAAAAAAAAAAGAAAAGAAAAAAAAAGAGGCAAAGGCTTGTTTACATCACAAAGGAACTTCAAAGGAAAAAGCTGGTAAATTTATTTCATCTGCTACTTTTTCAACAACAATTTGAAAGCCAAGAGTGCTTGAGATCTGGGGAGGGATGGTGAAAGGAACATCTCAATGTGTTTATTAAGAGAGGTTTGACTGATCTGATTTAATCCATTTCCTTAACATCTTTTATTCTAAACAGACACTCAAATAATAGGCTTTTCAATAAATATCTTTCAAAGGATTCCAAGAAAGAAACAAACAAAAATAGCTGAGATCTTGACTGCACATGGATACATAAATCCAGGAGACAAAACAGCCAGGAACAAAACTGCAGTTTGTGCTCTGAATTCCTCTTCTGTAAGAAGTAAAGAGAAGCTAGATTCTACTTCTGAATACTACTTAAAATTAGAATCAGGCACTGCAAAAAATTGAGATGCTGGAACCTGAAACATTGAAGCTTTTTTTAACATGAAACCTGAAGAGGCTCTGGAGGCACAATTATAAAAGAATACAGCTCTTTTAACATCGTCTTCTAACAGGGTGAGAATATTATTAGTTTTATGCCCACCATTTTCCTTTAGTTTTATCCAAAGGTGTAAAGTCTGATCTCCATTTCAAAATAATGTTAAAGGACCTCCTCTCAACTCCTTTTCTTCCTTTAGTAACATTTCCTAATGTTGTATTTGTTAATTTATATTATTTGCTGCATTAAAAAGAGATTTTATGGAACCATGGGTCTGTCAGTAGTTGACCAGAACAAGATGAGAAAGAAAAACATGACCTACAACTAGAATTTGCACACATAATTATTCAGAAGTAACAAAGTTTATTTCTTATTTTTAATAAGATTACCTAACCAAATGATTTTTTAATTTTTAAAAAATACACCTAAATCTTAGTATTCTCGAATATCTAAAATGCTCTTTACAGAGAATGCACAAGCTAAAGCTGCTTGCCTAGCTCAAACAAGAAAGGGTACAGGTTATTCACATTTCACTGTTAGCCAAAATCAAAAAGGGTATGATCTGTTCAGGCTGAAGAAAAGCACATTTTGATCACCCTGCCAGTAATAGAACTTTACTTATCAAAACACTGTCCGAGAGACAGATGAAGAGCTTTCAACACAGAAAATTACCCTGGCTGGCATCAGTCAAAAGAGAAAACAAACACTCCCCCCTCTCAAGAAGAAAAAAAACCCAAAACCACAACTTCTGGATTTCTAAGAAAATTTCTTTCATATCATTTGCACCTGGGCACCACTCCTCCTCACTTTTTACAGGCTTTCCCCAGAACATTAGGCTGGGAACAAATAAAACCAGTAACTAATTAATTATTAACACTGAACTATTGGAGCTGTATGAAACACAGTCTTCCCGGAAGTGTGAACATACAGGTGCTGTTCAAAGGAAAATCTGTAACAGTCAGTTTAATCAAAACAAGTACTTGGTACAAGTTGTCTAAATAGCTCTAGACAAATCCTTTTATATGGTCAGATTATGGAAATCTCACTTAATTGTGAAATTCAGCTTTCATCATGAGTAGCCCTTGGACTTGATGAGACTACCTGAAGAATAATAAACCAAGTAAGTGCTGAAAACAGGAGGGTTGCAAACTAGCCCAAAATATTGTTTGGTTCAAAGAAAGACAAGAGCACTTCTAATTCAAGAATATACTACTATGCATCCTGAAACCAGAAATACTACAATCAATAAACTTGTCCAAATAGGTATCACTGCAATCAATGGCAATAAAAATTCACTTGGGAGGGTAAATATATTTAATTCTTGTCCACAGCAACCTGTCATTCTTGTGCTGATGTTCAGGCAGAAATTCTTTTCCATCCCTTGCTCATCTAATAATTTATTTAAAAGCTAAACACTTTCACTCCCCCAAAAGAAGCTAAGATCAGTTGTCAGCAGTAGTGCAGCCACAAGAAGAGATCAAAGTCACACAACTACAACTGTGTTAGATCACAAAAAAAAAAAACAAAAAACAAACCAACTTTAAAAGTAATAGAGGGAAAAAATAAGAGTAAAATATAACAGAATAAAAACTTCCTAAAATTTATTTACTTATAACTAAAGATTAAATAATTCTCTAATCCTAAAACCACTTGAGAAAACATACAAGTATGGCATATATGTACAGCCGTAAACTTTACAATTTAACAGTTACAAATTTTTTTTAGAGAACCTTCCTGCTATTGTTTCTTACTTTCATGCCTAGCACTATCAGCATGCCTTTAACTTTTAATAACTCTTTAACAAACTTATCTCTCAGTCCATATCAAAGTAGTATAGTGTATCTCAGTTATAGGATTTAAATGTTATAGGATTTAAACATTCCAGATATTGGAACAGGTTGCTCAAGGAAGTTGTGGATGCTCCCTCCCTGGAAGTGTTCAAGGCCAGGTTGGATAGGGCTTTGAGCAATCTGGTCTAGTGGAAGGTGTCTGTGTTCACAGCAGGGGGGTTGGAACTAGATGATCTTTAAGGTCCCTTCCAACCCTAACCATTCTATGATTATTTTAAAACTATTTTATTTCAATGTCTGTATCACAGAAATACAAGAATCTTTTGCTCTTAAAAGACAATTCAATCTAAATTTGCATAGAAAAGACATAATGCTAAGATATATAATACATCAAGTTCCCACACTGAAACAAAAATTGTTGTCTTACCTGTTCTTCAAGAGCAGCTGCGTTTATAATATTGTTGGCTGTTTGAATAGCTGTTGCTACATTATCACCTGATAAACTGAATTCAGGAACCAGGCAGGAAGAAGGCACAGAGTGCTCCAGAAGAACATCACGAGATATATGAACTTCAGATACTAATGCAAGAAATAAAAACAGAAAACATGCACATAATATGAAGAAGCATTCAAAAATTAATTCTGTTTCTGAAATCTATACCTAGTAAAACCTGTCACACTAGTAACAAGTATAGCTATGTTAATGTAAGGTTACATACCTCTTACAATCTAACTGAATAATTCCATACAAAGTTCCTGTATTTTTGAGTACTATCACCTTAAGGACATTCAAAATTGTTCAGTCACACTAAATTTAGACTTGTAACTTACACAGAGGTTTCACAAGACGATTGTCATCAAAAGCAGCAGTTTTAACTTTTCTCTCTTTCCATTCACATAACCTTTCAGCTTTAGCACGATCTTTAATCAGTTTAAGCCAACTGTAAAACCATACTTACAAGTTCTCAAATTTTATAAGTTTTAAAGGTAAAAAAAAAATCCTCAACTGTCTTAGAAGACATATATTAACAGCTTACAAAGACAGGTGATAAAAGCAGTTTTACATTTTATGAGATCAAAAAATAACAAAGTAAATAACTTCTAGCTAATAAAACATAAGTAAAATAATACTAGAGGGAACATAGCAATTTCCAGCTATGCCATAAAAATCCTGAGCAGTGGATCGTCATTATCAACATGGCACAACAGAAACTTGAGCACTTTTACAAAAGATTCAGACATAAACTAAATAAAAAGGAAGAAGAAGAGAAAGCTCTATATTCATTTCTAATTTAACAGCAAAGTCCTAAAAACTTTGATATGGCCAACTACAGGTATGCCTTTGCAGTAGACAAAAAGTATATCCAATTGCTTTAGAAAAAGCAGCTCCCATTATTGTTAGAAATTTGGTAAAATGTAAAAGATGCCACTGGCCCAGAGCAAGGCTCACCCTCTCTATATCACTGTTTAGTAATGTACAAGTATGCATACACAGGGCAAACGTGTATACATTGGCCTAAAGGCATTCAAAAGGACACACTAATCCTTCAATCCAGGTGCTCTGTGCCCCACTTCCTTTACCTCCCAGTTCTGGGATTCACATTAACATAGAGGAAACATGCAAACCTCATCTAACAAAAAGAAGAAAGAAAACAGACCACAAGACAGAAAAATATGAGGATGCTAATTCCAGCAATAGTAGATTTGGACACCTGGAGGGGGGGGGGGGG